TACGTACAATTACGAGCTGTAGGCGGTGCAGCGAGTTTAATGGGCCCGTTGCGGCATCGATCACAGCCGTCATTAGGTGTGATAATTTACGACCTTGCTGTATTATTGCAATATCGCTGGAATAAGTCTCGTCGTCGACGGATTGACCTCGGTCAAGCGACGGAGACTTTTCTCGAAGCTTTCACCTACCTGCTGTCAATTATTTCCACGATTTGTGGAAAATAAAGAGAAGCGTGTTACGTCTCCTTCGTCAAAGTCTCCGTTGCGTTTGTAGCGTTTGGGTCGTAAGACTCCTGGAAACGTATGAGAAAGAATCAAACGGGCAGTCTATCACGCCGACCACTAATCACGCCGCAATTACCCGGTCCGATCTCTCTCGAGCGAATTTCCAAGAGAGCCACACAGCGAGTCACCGTGATGGACGGATGGCCGGGGGAGTGGCGTGTAAAAAGTCGCATGGAGGCAGAGGATACACGCGAGAAAGCGCGTTCAAACGGTGGTCGGACCTCCTCGAACGACTTGTCGCGTAATCGCGCGGCATTTGTCATCCGGTTTCGCGTCATTTCGGTTTACGCGCTCGGCGAGGAACCGGCGGGCGAGCGGAATAAAGAGAGGCGCGGCCGGGACGACGGATAGCCCGTGGCGCTTTGAAATATTCGTCGGACGGCATCGGGCCATTGTCGCGCCGTTGAAACGTCCAACAAATGGGTACACAGCGTCTCGTTTAATCGAAGCCCGCGGGCCCCGCGGCAAAAATTACCGCGGGTGGGTACACGCCGCGTGAGTCCGAATAATTGTTTTCCCGGGTGCTTGCTAATTCTAATCGAGTGGATGTTCCCGTCGTTTGCCGCTGGAATTTCGATGCTCTCCCTTTTCTATACCTCCGCGCGAATCGCTCGTCGCTCAAGGCCGCCGCGACGCGGACCCCCCACCACTTTTTCGCTCTGTCTACTTTGTCGTCCGGCCACTTTCTTTTCCTCCACGTCGCTGCGTATCGGCATTACGTGCCTTCGTCTTTTGTCCCGTACATCGCGGGTATTAACTCGTACACGCGTAGCTGCGTATCCTTTCTTTCGTTATACCTCTGCTGCACATTGGACTGTGTCATTCGTGGCCTTTTACCTTTAAATATCCGACCAATTATATCGTGACGAGATAGACTCTAGGATGGGTTAGAATTTCGACTAGGATTTTAGAGTTTTAACTTTAATTTTAAATTCCGTGGTTCACGAATTCTGGAAGGTGGAAGAATTTTTTAGAGGTCAGGTTTGAATAGCAATCTACCGAGCTGATAGCAAGGGTCGTGTTCCTGGACGCGATCCGGCTTCCAGCAATTTTTCTCCCGACTCGAAGAGGAGGCCCGATGTTGGCGGCGGTGTCGCGACCTCCGGTGTATATCGCCCCCGTTTCGAGTACCCTTAGCCGAGAAGCGGCGGCATTCCATCCGGAGCGTGCACGGAGTGTCCGCTCGGCGGAGGCGGCGGCAGCAGCGAGGCGGAGGAGCGTGCTATCGGCCGCGGTGATCGTGGCAGCGCACGTACACCGTACTTGTTCTCTAGGTGAGACACGGTAATCGCGTATCGATAGTCGCATGCCGTGTAAAACGTCGATCCGCCGCGACTCTGGCATACATAACGCTCCTCTAACGGCCGTGATATATTCCAGACGGTTTTTCCGCCGCGTTCACGATCCCCTTATTTCCATCGCGACGCTTATTTTCGCTACACGTCCGTACCTTCGATTCCGATGTTCGTTGTCACCGTTGTAAATTGCTTTCATTTTCGCTGAATAATCGAGCTGCAAAGGGTATACGTGAAATATTCGACGTTCACCGATGAGCACGGACGAAAAGGAAATGGCGTCCGCGCCGCGCGAAGCCGTTCAGCCGCGGGGAATTAATTTAATCAAGCGGTGCACCGGCCATAGTAAATGAGACATTTTTACCGATCGTTTACGAGGATCCCGGGGCAATCCAGCGACTCGCTTCGCATCGACAGTCGCATTTCGATGGCGGAGGAATGCCACCGGAGCTTCTCCCGATCGAACATCCGAGGCGATATAATTGGCAAGGTTCCGCTGAATCCTGCGGAACGAGACGATACCGTCGTTCGATCGAACGATCCGCTCCCTGTGCAGCTCTGGATTTCGCGTTTGAACGGGAGGAGTGGTTGGATCGGGAACGGCCGAGTCCGGGATGCCAAGATGTCTGCAGCTGTGCACGCCCCTGATTTCCTCGACAATCGGATGCCAGTGATTTTCGGCATTCGAGCCGGGGAACCACGATCGGAATGTACTCGGGAGCTGTCGTTACGTATGCAAATTCGTCGACCGGGGTTAGAAGATGGAAGTCGGCTCGAAGAATTCTTACGTAACGCAGACATAGAGCAGAGCTTGAATTATTTCGACCCGCGAACCGGCTTCGACCTCGGTTCCTTGACCTCTTCTTTGGAAGTCGGCTCGAAGAATTCTTACGTAACGCAGACATAGAGCAGAGCTTGAATTATTTCGACCTCGGTTCCTTGACCTCTTCTCGTACTTTGACGAGTCTGACTCGTGACGAAGATATTGGGCCAAACGTCAATATCACGAGCCAGACACGTGAACAGAAAGTCGATCCAAACATGCATGTCACGAGCTAGACACGTGAACAGAAAATTAGCCCAAACGTAAACATCACGAGCCAGGCTCGTGGACATGTAACACTGTAGCGACCATCATTCTTACCCTTGCCAATAGATGTCGTCCAACTTCCTATATATATTTTCCTATACATATAACTTCTAGATATTACAATAGTATCCCTGTCTAAAGTAGGGCCTGCTAGAAAAGGCTTACCGATGAGTCAGTAAGATGGGCCTTACTATCGGACCCAGGACGAAAATCGCATCCCTTCTTTTTCCTTATGTCCCTTCTAGCATCATCCCCACATAGAGGATATACCTGCGATCAGCTGACTTGAATAACCATGGGAAAGGATCCCCTACAACGCATATTTGCATTTCGGCTCGTATTCGAGTATCAGTCTGATCTATTTATCGCGCATTGATGCCTACCATTTGGGCCCAGAGCTAAGTGGCACGGGAATGGGTAAATTAATTTCTTTCTGACTGATGGACAAGCAGGGTGTCAGCTTTTCGTCACACACGACGAATCTATTACAAGGTACCACCGATACTTGGACCAACCTCGACGTCTCTCTAATGCCTGTCTCTAGCCGAGGTAGCCATTAATCGATAGACAGAAGCTACCTAGACTCTCAGCTCACTCGAGGTGAACGGAGGACCCGATGCGCGGACATTTTCGGACGGAAACGCGAGTCGAATCTCATCGAAACGGACCACCCCTAGGTCCCATATACTCGCGCGTAATCCCGTTAATCGCGCTGCGACGATAACCAAGCAGCAGCGCCACACAGGGAACCGGTACACAGGGAACCGTGTGACGACGTCCACGTCGGCGTGTGTGTCGCGGAAGAAGGTAAAGAGAAGCCTAGGGCCCTCGGTATCGGGTCCAACGATCGTTGTGTGAGGCGGCGCGCGCGCGCGCGAGCTCGAGAGAGAGAGAGAGAGAGCACACCACTTGTCTACCAGGTGAGACACACGGTAATCGCGTATCGATAGCCGGCCACGACGTATATTGCTCCGATCCACCGCAACGCCGACGTGTATTGCTGCCCGCTAATAGTTAACTATGATCTTACAAGCCGTTTACATCCAGCCCATCTGGCCGCGGTTGCGAAAAGCTGCGGAGCTCGCCTTCTGCCGGAACCCTCGCCTTCGTTGCCAGCCGGATCAGCTTGGTAAATTCTTTTCGTGTTGCTGCTTCGTTGTTTGGTGTTATGGAAAATTGGGTGCACGGTGGTGGTTACGATACTGTGGGTTTTCAGTCCGAGCACTTCCTCCGATCGCGTGGATGCAAGCAGGTGGATAGAATGATAGGCTGTGGTGCTTCTCAGCTTAGAAGTTAGGCGAGCCGACAAGACAGGAGTAATCGAGAAAAGTGGCAAGTGCTTATGGTTGTTTCACGGTTCGTTTGGTCCAGGTGCACTTGTACTTTCCGATTTTTCAATCCAAAATCTGAATAAAATAAAACTAACATCGTCTTATGAGGATTGGGAGTGGAACGTAATTGGCACGCCATAGACTTTTGACACCTTCTAGGTACCTAAGAAAAGACTACCACGGTTACCTAAAATTCTAGCTTCCTTGTTAGGATACCCACGAGATCTCTCTACCCCAAAATTACCGTACGGACTAGCCAACAGCACATGCTACAACACGGACAAGTACGCCACTAGACTCGCATGGCGATCTCGTTGAGACAGGGTAGTGGTGTTAGCGATAGCCGCACACGAGGTGCCACGGAGTGGACGCAGCTCGGTGGCGACGTAACCGCTGTGGTAATAGTCCAGTTACGAGCATACAAACGATATTTTCGCTAGTCTTATGCTGGTAGTGGACGCAGACCGGTTAACCTGGTCATAGACGGCTGTCTAATTGCGAGTGTCGCGATTGTCGTTGTTATCGAGCTCGCCTAGGGATCCGGGAACGATTTCAGAGGCTGACCCTAATCGCGCTATAGACGTTATTCGATTCCCGTGTTTGAGGCGAGTGCCTATCGATTCGGGAAATTTGGGGAAAAATTGGCAAATCCTCGCAAACTCGTTCGCAGTATCACCTTCTATCCGGGACATAGCGCGAAGGTGAATTTTTATTCGCAGAAATTCCAGAAAATGGTGGATGCACACCGCGAGTCTTCCATATTTCAACGTGTCATTCAATCTCGATCAATCATCCGACACCGTCAGACCTGTTTCAACTATACTCGCGATGCTCCCATTCACCTGGCCCGCGTCTCCATACCGATTTATTCGCGTGGTTTGCCGAAAATTAGAGATTCTTTAAGGTCCATCGCGTATATGTACCTCGGCGACGCGTAAGAGAAACGAAACAAGATGGCGGCGCCGCAGCTAAGACTATCCTCGTCTCTGTCTGTTGCAGGATCGTACGAAGGACGCCAGGGGCCCGCGACCGGACTGTAAATACGCGCCGCTGAGAGGTCCTGGGATTTACTAGCGTGATCTCGGCTCCAAGAGGAGAGGGCGGAACCAGGAAGAAGAAGAAGAAGGAAGACGCGAGAAGAGGCAGATGGAACGGAAGGCGAGGCCCTGGATGCAAAGAAACGAAGAGGAGAGAGAGGATCCTTCCGAACGGGAGGATGAAAAGGAGCACTGGGGTTCGTCCTTGAGATACATAAATCGTCCCCGTGCCTCGCAAGGTGCGACTGCGAAAGACGAATGGGGTTGGCCGCGGCGTGCACGCGCGCGCTCGCGCGCCAGTCGGGTCGGCTTAGAGGAGCTTTAGGAATTAGAGGAATTACGTGGAAGTGCCTGCTTACGCACGAGTACGTGAGGGAAGAAGACGGTGCCGTTAGGAGGAAGAGATAGTCGCGAAGAGGAGAGACGTGCACCGAATAGTACACGCCTGAGACGTTCGTGTAAGTTTGGCCATTTCGGGACGCCATTTTCTTCTTCGACGACAGGCCGCCCGGTGTTTTGACGTTGGGGTCGTGCAGCAGAGTGGAGAAGAGTTCGATGCGCGAAACATCGTCCAAGTTACCTCGTTTCACGCGCTCGAGGCTTTCCTTAGTCAAAGCAATTAATTCTTCGTGGCCGATCGTTCCGCGCGTTTCGCCGGTTTGCCATTCTGTAAATAGAAAGAATCATGGCCGCTGCGCGTGATTCGTTCGCGACCCAAACTGGGACCGGTAACGCGTCCGGGATCGGTCGTCGCGTCTGTATATAAATCGCGTGGACAGAGGAACAGAGAGGCTGTTCGCTCCGGGACACTTCTCGTTCTTCGTCCGTCTGTATCTGTTCACCGAACATCGCGGATCTTGCCGATTCCAGGAGCCAAGAACCCGCGAACTACACACGGGCAACGTGCAAAGTAGCAGCCGAGGAGTGAGTCTGTTCGAAGGTCGATCGAGATCCGACCGAGAAGCCGCGTTTCGTGGGCCTGACGAGTCCGTGACATGGCGTCCTCGAGGTTCGGATCGCGGAGATCGATCGACGAGATATTACGAAGATAAAACGAGGAACCCTCGTACCCCGGGGAGGTCTCTGGATCCTTCGACCTAGTCGCGTGACGACGACGGAGGAAGAAGAGGAGGGGGAATCGCACAGGCGCTACTCTATCCTTAACCTACCAGTAAACTCTTTAATTAAACTCCCGATGGGATATTCTCGTGTACGCGAACACGCGGTTCGCACGGACAGTGGGCTGGCCGAGTGAAAGCTGGATCGTCGGAAAATTCGTCGAGGTGTGGTCGAGTGGACTGCGTAGTATCGGTCCGCGCGCTGCCACGGTTCTAAGTTACGGATAGCGGAAGTGGAGAGCCGCGTCCGCGAGTGCAGTCCTCGTGGTACCGATAGACGACGCGCTTGTTCATGGAGGTTGGGTATCACGGTGCAGGAGAGAAAGAGAGAGAGAGAGAGAGGGGAGAGAATGGTAATGGCAGCGATAAACTAATTAAGAGTAAAAATTCGTCCTTTTTCGCGCGGGCACCGTGCACACCCGCGATCCATGAAGCACTTGCGGCTTGCCGGGGCCTCGCGGCGCGCGCGCGCACCACGAGAATTCGACGATGCGATAACACGCGGTCTACCTTTAATTAGCATCGTACTTCATCCTCGTTACTTTCAACCGTCTCTCTGTGCAATATATCGTTTTAGATCGTATGCTCGTTGATCGTTCAAGCCTCTCGTGATCGCGTACCCGCGAGGCGGTCAGAAGCGGACGTTTCCTCGCTCCGTGCGAGTGTGTTACGTTGTGCGTGTTGCGTGCGTGTAGCAAGTTCGATCGCGATCTCTTCGTTCTCGGTTCCTTAATTCCATCGATCTCCGTGGTCTCGCGCGGGCAAAATACCGCAGCGATCGTTGAACGAGAGAGGGTGTTCGTCCAGTCGTGTCGGTTCGGCTCGAGTCATGTCGGTCCGGAACGAGGAAGAGGAGCGAGATCGATCGTGTGCTTGGGGAGCGAGGTGCGCGGTGCTCGAGATTGTTGATATTTTTTTATATTATATGTATATCGTATAAAATCATCCCTCCTTTCGAAGAGTACGATCATTGACGGTGGTGGAATCCAGGCACGACGTGTCTGCCATGCGTACAGTGTTTCTCGGCGGTGTGTGCGTAGTGGGAAGGTTGGTGAGTGAAAGAGAGTGAGAGAGAGAGAGAGAGGGAGTGGGTACGGTGCGAAGACGAAGGGAGACTAAAAAGATAATTATAGAAATCGACTATCATTTTGTACTTCGACGCGTATTGAGCGAGTGTGAGTGCGTGTTGTCGTCGACGCTCTGCGTCGTTCGCGAGAGGGAAGAGAAGGAGAGAGCGTGGTCAATGAGTGGTAAATCGGGAGAGCGTGAGAAGGAGAGCGATGGGAGAAATTGTACATTGTTTTGTAAAGAGTACATTTATTTATATCTGTGATAATGGGCGAGGTTAAAGAGAATTAGGGAGAAAACGAGATGCAAGCGAGAGAGAAAAACGGGTTGCGACTGTGGGAGAGAGAGAGAGTGAGAGAAAGGGGAAGCGTGAATTAGTGCATTGTACGAAAAAGGAAAAAGGAAAAAAGAAAAAAAAAAGGAAACGAAGCAAGGAGAAACACTACGGTGTTGGTGTACTTGGACGAAGATGGTCGGTGCTCGTGCATTCGTTGACACGTATATCGTAATAAAGTAATTAATAGAGACTCGATCATGATTTTGTAAATAATCATCGCAGCGTGGCCAGGGGACAACACCGGGGGTCGAACGTGACGTTTTGCGAATCCAGGCGAAAAATGAAAAAAAAATCAATAAATAAAATAAAATAAAATAAAATAAAACGTAAACGAAGAAATCGTAAGGGTAGAATGAAAGAGAACGAGAGAGAGAGAGGTAGGGATAATAAGAATTTTACGTGTTTCTCACACACGACCGCACCCTCGACACACGAAAAAAATGGGAGGGAGAGAGAGAGAGAGAGAGAGAGAGAGAGAGAGAGAGAGAG